AAATAAGAAAAATGAAAAATTAGAATTTCCAGTTTCATGTGCTATAACAGAGACATGCTTAAGTGCAGGGTTTACATAGATGAGGAGACAGCCCTTTCTGTGTGGCAGTATTAAATTAAGAATCCTGGCTTCTTGGAGTTTAATCCAGCGTTCTCATCATGACGTTAAGATTAAGTTCATACACACACACACACAAATCAACAAATACCATATCTACTAATCTGTTACCAGGAACAAGAAAATTGAAATCTCTGTGCTTCAGTTTCCTTTCTTATAAAAGAGAAATAACAATGCTATCAGGATTTAAATGATGAAAATAAAATACTACAGTGATTGATGAATAGAAACCTTTGAAAAATATTAGTAGTGGCTATAGTGATAATGATGATGAGGAGGATGTAATCAATGTGATTATTAAGTGATAGCTTTACAAACTACTAGGAGAGGCAAAGGAAAGTGAGAAAATCATTCCTAATTGCATCAAGCACCACAGACATTTTACCCAAGCTGTAGAGGATGCGCACAGGAAATAGGTACACATGCGACCTATCTGGAGAACGAGTAGTGGAATAAAAACAAGAGGTCATTTATGAAAAGCCATGAAGTTCTCTAAATAATGAAAAATAAAAGTTGAAGAGTTAAGATGCAACTATGTCAAGGAAGTCTCCAAATGTCAGGCTAAATATAATAAGCTGTATATCTCCAGTTTCTGTCATTTTTTTCTTACTAGTTAAATTTTGGGCACAGAATGTGAAAATCAACAGGTGCCAGCCCAACATCCCCATTCCAGCATGTATTGTCAACATCCGTTAGAGCAGTTCTCTTGAGTTTTGTCATCACTCTTTACTCAGGTGAATAATTAGTCCTTGAATCAGAAGGGAGTAGGTCATAATATGTTTGCTTGAGTTTCCCAAAGATAGACATGCATAAATATGTACTCAGACCGGTAAAGAAGAAAAGGAAAAAATGTACACAAGGTTGAGCAATGTAAACACATTCAGTATGACTAATAGTCTAGCACTATAGCAGGATTTCTCTGGTCAATGCACTCCTCATCTCCCAGGGCAAACAATATTTATCTGTCAAGAATTGATCGTATGAGGCCTCAATATATTTTCTATTGTTCTAATTCACGGAAAGAGGGTGATAGCATTACTAGCTAGCAATTATAATTCCTGGAGATGTGAGGAATAATATTTTTGCACAATATTGACTTATGGTTTCTTAGTTTATTCTCACACCAAATGAACACTGTATGATGTGTATTTTTGTAGTTGAGAAAACTGTTTTACCCAGTCATATCACAGTTGAAATGGCAGATTTATAACTGGAGACAGGCTCCTCTCTCCATAGGTTTTGTTTATCCTCTTCAACTTGTTGTCTGAAAAGGGCCATTCCCTATCACAAATTTAGGGCCAGTTTTTTGTTTGTTTGTTTGTTTGTTTGTTTGTTTGTTTTTGAGACGGAGTCTCGCTCTGTCGCCCAGGCTGGAGTGCAGTGGCCGGATCTCGGCTCACTGCAAGCTCCGCCTCCCGGGTTCACGCCATTCTCCTGCCTCAGCCTCCCGAGTAGCTGGGACTACAGGCGCCCGCCACCTCGCCTGGCTAGTTTTTTGTATTTTTTAGTAGAGACGGGGTTTCACCGTGTTAGCCAGGATGGTCTCGATCTCCTGACCTCGTGATCCACCCGTCTCGGCCTCCCAAAGTGCTGGGATTACAGGCTTGAGCCACCGCACCCGACCTAGGGCCAGTTTTTAACTAGAATTCATCTAAGTATTGTAGTGATTTAAAAAACAAGATTGTCTGGGGTCCACAGGATATGTTTCTGTAGTGAAATATTTTTCTAATTACAGATTAGTATTGGTGAACTGAGATGGAATAGAATAAAAAAATCTATCAAGAGTCCTCATTATAATAAGACTATGTTTTATTTTTTAACAACTGTGTTTGTCTGCTCCCACATCTACATATAATACATATACTAGGCCATACCCCAAAATTTTTACTTTAGGTTCACAGTCAAATGTTTAAAAAGCACTGTTTGGTGAAAAGAGCCGAGGCTTTGGCATCAGGCAGGCCTAAATCTAAAGTTATTACTGTTGCTATTATTATCTAATGAGTTTATGTGACCAGATTCCAGCCAACTCCCTTCTCCCCACACTGCTTGTGAGACCCAAGGGAAAAAAATCCTTTTCTCACATATGAACCCTCCTTAACAGTGGTTATTGGAAGTTTCTTACTCGCCACAAAACTACTATTTAAATAATGATTTGAGATGAAAAGAACAAATATATTTTCATCCCAAATCAAATCAAATATGATTCAACCAATATCTATCAATGCTAAGACTAAACTCCATGAGGGCAGACATCATATCCATTTCCCCAGCACTCAGCCAAAAGTTTTTGTATAGTAAGGACTTGATGGATATTTGAATATACTAATAGTTGAAGGAATAAAAGGCCTGATGATGAGCCAATGAATGGCTACTCAACTGGAGGCACTGGAGACACAGAAATGAACAAGGCATAAACCTTGGTCTTCAGAAGTATATACATTTATCTCTTAATTTATGTTTTTAGGAAATATTTATTTAGTGTCTACTATTTTCCAGACACTTTATTAAGTGCTACAATAAATAAAGCAGCTGTATTTGCTCTCTAAAAATAAAGAGATATTACATAATAATCATACAAATAGCTGTAGAGTTGGAATTATTTTAAGTGCAATGAAGGGTTTTATGAAATCATACAATAGGAGGCATTAATCTAGATGCAGAAAGAAGTAAAGGAAGACCCAGAAAGAATGGCTTAATGAGAAAATACCTACCACTTAACCTTTTAACCTTAGAGGGTGCAAAGCTGTTTTGTTTTGTTTTCTTGGCCCTAGCAAAGGGTAACAGAGAAATGACCAAAGTAGCAAGGAAATAACCGGATTGAGCAAGGAAGAACCTCTTGGGGAATAAAGATAGAAAGGAGCCAAGTCATGCAGAACCTAAATTCTTCCTGAGCATTCTGAACAATGAGAAACTGGACAGAGACATTATCAAATTTGCAGTCCATAAACATCCCTTGACTGTTCCATGGGCAGCAACTTTAAGGAAGAAATAACAACAAATATTGAGAAACTCTTTGCAGGAAATGCAGAAACCCAGGGGGGAAATGATGGCGTTGTCTTAGATATGACAGTGGAAGCTAATGAGAAGTGTCCGGGGTTGAGGTTATTTTGAACACGAATCCAAGAAGAGAACTTAGTAGCAAATTAAGTGTGGAAGATGATGCATAGAAAGGGGAAAGGGAAATATCAGGGAGAACAATGAGGTTTGGGCTTGAGTGATCTACTGGAAAGAAAAGAAGCTGTAGGGAGAATAGAGACAAAAATACTGTGGTGAAAGATCAAAATAGTAGTATGGGACATATTAGATTTGAAGTAGCTGTAAAACATCCAAATAGTGATGTCAAGAACTAAACACTTCCAAAGCTTCCCTTTGATAAAAACCAAAGTCCTTACTCTAGCCTACACTAAATCTAGACCCTCACTGCTTCCTTTATTTCATCTCCCATTCTGCCCTCTATCACTTTGCTGGAAGCCAGACTGTCCTCCTGGATGTTTCTCAAACATGTCAAACCAACGTCAGCCTCACAGCCTTTGCACTTACTATTCTCTCTGTCTGGAATGCACATCCTTGGAATAATTACATAGTTCAAATCCTCATTTCCTTCATGTCTCTGTTTGATATCACCTGAAAAGCAAGACCTCTTCTGATTAGGCTATAATACATATCTCCTTAACCCTCCAGCACCCTTATCCTTCCTATCCATTTCTCCATAATAGATATTTGATATATTTTATAATCATTTATTATTTTTTGTCACCTGCCTCCCTCAACAAAAATGCAATGGAAGCTCCATGAAGACAGAGATTGTTATTTTTATTTACTGATCTGTCTCGAGAGATAAATACAGTTCTTGTCATGACTTGGAAAGGGTTTGAGATTTTATCCTACTTGGAAGCTAAGAAGTTAAACTGCCACATTATAATGGTTTCTGGCAGAAGGCACAGACTCCTGGCTCAGAGATAAGGGACTTAATTATTCCATAGCAACAGCCAGAGTGTTGGAATTTGTTCTGGTTTCCCAAGCCCCAATTTCCACAGGCCAATGTAAGGCACATCAAGTGATACTTGCAGCGAAAGTACAATGTGTTAAAGGAAAGCAAGGCCAAGCTTTTAAAAACCCGAAATCTTTTAAATAGGGCAATTAACATGATCTTTGCCCTAGAAGGAGATATTAACTTTATTACACTAAACAGTAAACAAACCTGACTTTTGATGCAGAGGGAGACATTACATATTTGCTAAGGTCATTTGCTATACAAACACCCTTAAAAAGATAGTCTGAAACAAAGGTTATCGGTACCTCTACTCATAAGACATGCAGAAACATGAGAGAGGATGGAGAATTCTCTTCCAACAACACATGGTAGATAACCAGCACATATTCTCAAATGAAAGAGTAACCCTTTGAGTTAGATGTTATTATTATTTTAATTTCCAGATGAATACACAGAAGCACAGCAAAAGTGACTCCAACAAGCACCCTCTACTCTAGAATACACGCTTTAGGGAACTGAGTCCTCTCTCTCTCTCTCTTGCTCTCTCTTTCCCTCTCATCTGCCACTCCATCAGCTACTCTAAGCTTTGTGAATGGGTGATAGAAAAATAGAGAAAAGAGAAAGAAGAATAAGAAATGAAGAGTGGAGGAAAGGAAGAAAGAATGGAGAGGTTTTATCCTACTTGGAATAAAATTCTTTCTAGTCGCTATCCATACCTGCTCATCTATCCAGACCTACAGAGTAGAAGGGATCTTTGGGTTTACCTTACAGGGGAGAAAACAGGCTTCAGAAGGGTATGACTTTCCCCCAACCATAGAGAGAGCGGGATCAAACTAACCACTAGAACTATTTTCCTGACAGAATGTTTGCCTTGCATGTTTCAGGCCCACCTGGCTCCTTTCACCTTTCTTACGCAGGTGACATTCCCAGAACCTGGAGGCCAGGCTACAACACAGAGTCAATCAATAACCAGGGAGATCTATGATATAGCCCAGTAGGTGGGGCCTTGCTGTCGTCTGCCATATGACCCTTCCAGTCCCAGGCTTCTGAAGAGACGTGGTAAGTGCAGTGCAGTTTTCAACTGACCTCTGGACGCAGAATTTCAGCCATGAAGGTAACAGGCATCTTTCTTCTCAGTGCCTTGGCCCTGTTGAGTCTATCTGGTAAGTGTTTTTGCATATTTTTCAAATTTAAATAAAATCATTTTGACCTGTTGCTTTGTGGAGCACATTATCTTCTAGACTTTTGATGTAGTCTAGTCTTCGAGAGATCTTTTGGACCTAGTGAGATGAAATAGAATCCACAGATAAGAATTATTTTTTAAGAGGGATTTTTAACTTACTACAAGGAAAACAATTCTGCTAGTAAGAACTGCCTAGAGATAAAATGGTTTTCCTCTATTGATGTGGCTGACCCTTTGTTGGAATACGGTAGAGAAAAAAGGGTAAAAATATTTCAATTTTAACTATACTTCTAATTTTGTAAATGTGTAAGGCCAAATTACAATAATATATGTGATATAAAGGGGAGTTTTTATTTACAGTTTCTGGTATTTCTTATTAGTATCTGGAAATACAAAAATTGCATTTTGTGTATTTACATTACACGTTTTGAATGTTTTGAAAGAAAACATTCTGCTTGAATAGATGGTGCACATATACCCCCAACTGCATCTTGACAATGTTAACAGACAACTCTGAACCCTCAGAGCCAAGATCAGTTTCCTTTTTATCATTGGAAATAGTTAACATTTTCAACTTCACCTCTCATGTAGTGACGGATCCTGTGGAGAGCCAAATCAGCACTTTGCTAAGAAGAGGAAGAATATTGTTTGTTGTATTCGCCGAATACTTATGGCAGCTGTCAGTGTTCCCTTTCCCCCTCCTCGTGCATGTTAATTAATACAAATAGATGCTTGTGATGAGCACCTGCTCATCAGTTTTTAGATTCAACTAGATTCTAAAAGCCAGTGGGCCCCCAACAATATCAAGTTCTGACTATCCTGGGGGAAATTCTCCAAGCTCTTAGATGCCTCGCTAATTTTCATTACATTTAGATACAAAGAACTACCTCTTTACCCAGATCACCTCAAAGATTGATGATATTAAAAATTAATTTTCACAAATATTTCCTTATTTGGATGCTATCAGATTAATCCCTTTCGCTTCCATGAACTCATCCACAGTTATCATTTTCTACATGTTGTCAGCAAAACCTATGCTATCTTCTGGGGAACGGAGATTAGCTATTTTGACTACCTGTAAATTCAATAAATGTGAGTTGGACCCATAGTCCATATGATGCAATTGTTGGAAATAGCTTTTTGGGAACTGATAGTGAGTTGGCAAAAGATCTCTATTTTTTCAACATTACTTACAAAAGAGAATTTAAGTGTAATTGAAAAAGCTAATTTTGCATCAGAAGGCCTGGTTACTGCTTGTGATAACTGTTTCACAGCTTTTCATCTGTAAACAGATAGAAAGTATACTTCACTAATTGTGAGATTAAAGATCTAGTAACTGGTTTTGAGAATGTTTGTGAGGTTTCAAAAGATAATTTGCTCAGTGCCTGATACATTTCCAGCAGTAAGTACATAATTTCTATTTTCAAGGAAATAGATCAACTTCCTAAAACATCAAATTGAGATACTTTGGTCATAATCAAAGTTTTACTTAATCTTTTTAAGGTTTTGCCAGGGAGGGGGTGCAGGAAAATCAGTCAGATACTTTTGGAAGATTATAGAAATCAGAAAGGGTAGGGAATGAAAGAGCCTAGTAAAGAAGTCATGGTCTGCAGTGAAAGCAGAGAATTCTGAGGAAGAATAGATCTGACTTCTCTCGTTTAGGACCCAACTTACCATATCTGATTTATTTCCAGGTAACACTGGAGCTGACTCCCTGGGAAGAGAGGTAAAGAGATATTTGTAATTTCTTATTTCTCAGGCTGGAACAGTTTGATCCAACAAAAATGCAGCCTTGCTGTCACCTTTCAGTTGAGCCTGAAGTTAAGAGGAGTATGAATGCTAGGGAGGGTTAATGTGTGAAATGCAAACGGTAATAGTAGTTCCACCCCACAGGCATATATTGAAGGACAATTTCACTGATGTATAAGCAAGTTCTATATAGTCCTACAGTGCTTGCTGTGAAGGAATTTTTATATAAACTAGTGAGAGCTGTAAACAAGTATTTGGGGTGGAAGCCTTCTCAAGTTCACTCCAAGTAGCCCTTCCTCCTTACAGCCAGTTTGACCATGTTGGCATGCAGCTTTCCCAATGACCAAGGTGTGGCTCTAATTTATAATGAACAACAGAAAACAATAAACTAGGTTCTTCTTCTAGAAAAATATTCTAACTCTAATCTTTTCATATTTTTTTTGTTTAAAAGGTAATTTCAGTAAATTTGGAGACCAGAGGAAGAAGTGTCCCTCTTCTCAGTACATTTATATCTAGTCAGAGACAGCTAATAGACCAAAAGTTCATGAATGAACACATTATTACATTTGTGATAAGTGTTATGAAAAAGATATGCTGCCGTTAAGAACTTAGCCTAGTTAGAGAGATCAGGGAGGGTGCTCCGAAGTAAGTGAGGGGTCATTTTGAGCCAAAAATAATAATAATAATAATAATAATGAGTGTTAGCAAAGCAAAACTGGTGGGGAGATGTAGTAGAATGAAGTAGTTAAGAGCTAAAGCTCAGGAACTCTGACTAGGTTTGAATTCTGAATTTAGGAATTCCTTAGCTAGGTGTCCTTGGCTAATTTTATTGCTTTGTGCCTCATTATCTTCACCTGAAGAAGAATATAATACTTAGTTCACAGGATAGTTAGGCGGTTTAAACAGAATAATATGTAAAAAGCACTAGGACAGTGTCTAGGACAATGCCAATCATTTGATGATTATAAACTCTTACTAGAGTAGAATGCAAAGACTTCCAACACTGGATGATGGCTAGTGCCTTTAAGTGCCTAATAGAAGGCCAGTGTGTGTGGACTATAGTGTACAAGGAAGAACATACCTCAAGATGTGGCTAGCCTGAGAGATGCCAGCATCTGCAGTAACTGTAAACTTGAACATTATCTCACCCATCCGTGCAAACCTCACAACAACACTATGAGATAGGTGGGAAATGGTAATATCATCACCATTTTGCAGATGAACTGACTGAGTTTCAGAAGGGCCATAGGACTTACTAATGTCACACAGTTTAGAAATAGCAGAGGCATGACTTAAAACAAGGTTTTCTGTCTCGAGATCTTAGGTTATTTCTCTTACAACACACAGTATCGTTCTCCCAATCACAGTTGTGCCCCAGAGAAATTAAAACCATTTCAGAGATTTTGCTATGAACTCAAGAATGGAGAATAATGGGAAATGATTCTGTTTAATTCCATTTTTAGGCCAAATGTTACAATGAACTTACTGGATGCACCAAGATATACGACCCTGTCTGTGGGACTGATGGAAAAACTTATCCCAATGAATGTGTGCTATGTTTTGAAAATCAGTGAGTACAAACTTGAGTTTCTTTTAAACTATGTATTTTAAGATAGTTATCTTCAAATATACTGATAATATGAATCTCACCCTGAGAGAAGCAAACTATTTACTTTTTCCAAAAACAGTTATCTCTTTCTTATTCTCCTTTTTATACATTTAGCATTATAATATTATTTTTAAAAAGTCACTTTTATGATAAAAGTCTACATTTTTACAGCAAAATAGTTGATAGATTGGATTTTTATTAATCTTATACACACAAAATACCTTTAATTAAAAAGAAATATTAGTGGTTGCAATGATTGTTTTTTAAAGCTCTCATTTATGCAAATATAAATTGTATAGATTATATAACCAAAAATGTATTTTTACTCATGGATATGAAAGCCAGTTTCAGTAAAGCTTCATTTTCTCAGTATCCATGAGTAAGAGATGGGATACAGAGAAACAGATTCGACACAAATTTCCTATCTCACTCAGCAACTGAAACCTTAGCATGTGTAAAGCATTATGCTAATATTCCTTGTCTTACTGGTGCTTATGACTAAGAAAACGTCATGAGCATATATAGGATGGCTTCTTATAATTTTGGGCAAATGCCAGAAGATGAGGTGTAAATAAAGTGCAACAGGAGTGAAGCAGGGATACATATTTTTTGTTATTAAAAGGGGCCAAGAAAGGATCCATGAAAAGAATAGAATGCCGGCCGGTGCCGTGGCTCACTACTGTAATCCCAGCACTTCGGGAGGCCAAGGCAGGTAGATCACCTGAGGTCAGGAATTTGAGACCAGCCTGGCCAACATGGTGAAACCCCGTGGTGGTGGGCACCTGTAACCCCAGCTACTCAGGAGGCTGAGGCAGGAGAATCGCTTGAACCTGGGAGGCGGAGGTTGCAGTGAGCTGAGATTGTGCCACTGCACTCCAGCCTGGGTGACAAGAGTGAGACTCCATTAAAAAAAAAAAAAAAGGAAAAAAAAAAAGAATAGAATGCCATTTAAATAGAGCTCTGAATTTTGGCAATATCAAAAGAGCATGCCAGGTTAAATAAAGGTGTGGAATGAACAAAACAAATAAAAGGGGATTCCACGAGTGACTTTAGTTTTTCTGAGATTGACTTGATATTAAAGACTTTGACTCAGGCTCAAATGACTGTGTAAATTTCTATTATATTCTACTGCATAACTTTCCTTGCCTGTAATGCAAACCTTCTTCTTGGGCTGGTTTAAACCATTGTGGAAAATTCTCAGAGTTTAGCAAGTATCGTGGAAATAGGTCCACAGGATGAGAGGTCTAATATCTTAAAGTTTTAGACCCAAAACCTTAGGTATTCTACTTTGTAATGAATCCGTTTCCATAACTAAGACTTGTCAAAGGAATTTGAAGCCACCTGTTAGTTTTCTCATGACCCACATTCTTGACATTAAGGTCAAACATCAACTTTCCATCCAATGGGAGGAGAAAGCAAGAGAACAACAGCTTTGAGACTTGGGAAATTTCCAAGTGCCACTCAACATTTACAGTGAAACGTTAGAAAAATATTAGTAGAGGGCTGGGACACCCTGTCTGCTTAGTCTCTGAAACCTACAAGTTTCTGTTTACTCTTTCTGTTTGTTCAAAAATATGTAAATACGGGAGGCACATTTCTATGCTAGAAAACATGACCTCTCTTCCTATATTTTTCAGATAAGAAAATTTAGGTCTAGAGACAAAATGTTGCTTTCTCAAATACAACATATTTCCTAATGTATGACATTGCCCTTTTCACTGTTGATTAAAAGTCCCCAACTTATCACCTAGCAACTAAAGCCAGATGCTGATCCTAGTTTGAGACAAGTAGATAATACCAAACAAGGGCTTGCAAATCAGTCTTCTTGGTCATTATATGCTTGGCAAATAAATTCAAAAAACACTTTTTCTATTCCTTCTATGTCTTCACAGGAAATCTGTACTGGCAAATTCTTTTCCATAAATCTGCATTTCCAATAGAAACTTCTATAATGATGGAAATGTTCTATGTTTATGCTGTCTAATACATAGCCACTAGCCACAAAACAGTAGCCTTAATGTGGCTAACACTAACTTAAGTGTGGCTAGCATAACTGATAAACTGAATATTTAATATTATTAATATTTAATATTTAATATTATCTAAATTAATTTAAATTTACATAGCTGTATGTCGACAGTGAATATATGAAACTAGAGTGAACAGCATAGCAACTCTTGTTTATTCTGTTTAGGTATGTGTGCTTATGTATGCTAACTGATTTGGAAATCAGTATTAATGAGTACTTGATGATTGTGGGACAAGAAAGCATTAAAAAGTCTTAAAGAGTTTCACTGAGCATGGTGGCTCATGCCTGTAATCCCAGCACTTTGGAAGGCCCAGGCAGGCGGATCACTTGATGTTAGGAGTTTGAGACCAGCTTGGCCAACATGGTAAAACCCCGTCTCTACTAAAAATACAAAAATTAGCCGGGCGTGGTGACATGCACCTGTAATCCCAGCTACTCAGGAGGCTGAGGCAGGAGAATCACTTGAACCCGGGAGCCGGAGGCTGCAGTGACCCAAGATCACACCGCTATACTCCAGCCTGGGCAACAGAGTGAGACTCTGTCTAAAAAAAAAAAAAAGAAAGAAAGAAAGAAAGAAAGAAAGAAAAAAAAAAGTATATGGAAGTCAGATGTCCTCCAGTAATAGAGAAGTAGAAGAATTTTTGTAAGCCAGTATATTCAAAGAAAAAAATGGTTAGAAAAATTAAAGACCTGGAAACAGTCTTCTAGGGAACAATTACAACATTTAGAGATATTTAGCTTAGAGAAGAGAAAACTGGTTTGGTAATGGCAGTGTGGGGCGAACAGAGAGGTTTTATCTGGAGGGGAGGATGTTTAGAACTGGCAGGAATCATGTGGAATAAATATATGATTTAGTTTTGCGAGACCTCACAGAAATGAATCCCTAGAGCTCTAAGATGAAAGGTCAGTCAATTAGAAGGTCCAGCGATAGCTCAGGCAGCAGCTCAGATGGAAACCTGGTGGCGAAGGCAGAGGCATCAGGAGCAAAAGATGCAATGATGGATTTGAGTTTAATTTCAGGGGTTCACTGTAACACTCCACTAGGTCTGTAAAAACTGTAAGGACAGATGTTTTTCCTTTCTGTTGTATCCTTAGAGTATACAACAGTAATCAATAAATATTTGATGAATTCATGAGTAAGTGAATGTATAAATGAATGAAAGAGAAAAGATTCTAAATCTCAAACCCCTCTACTTTAAATGAAGTTATTTTCCCCCGTTTTTCTCCCATAGTCACTTTTTTGTCAATAAAGTTTAAGCTGATTTTTTTTTTTTTTTAATTTCTACTGCAGGAAGCGCCAGACTTCTGTCCTCATTCGAAAATCTGGGCCTTGCTGAGAACCAAGGTTTTGAAATCCCATCAGGTCACTGTGAGGCCTGGCTGGCCTGATAGTTGAATAAACGCATCTGAATACTCCCTGTTGTTCCCATTTGCTTTTTCCTCAAAGGTATGTTTGATTATACCAGGGTCAGGGGACTTTGGCAAGACTCAGAATAGACCAAGTTTTAAAAACACCAGGAATCCTGTAATTTCACACAGGGTTTTTCCCTCACAATTCCTTTTCTTTCCTCATCTTTCTTACATCCTGAGGTCACTGCCTGAGAAAATGTGATTGCAGATATTAAATGGCAGAGCATGGATGATCATGAATGCAAGTAATTCTGCAGAGGACTGGACTACTATTTTAAGGAACAACTGGAAAATACCCAGTGCAGAAACATGTTACCCATCACAGTTTGCTGACTGAAGTAACTCCTTTAGGTTTCCTTGGGATTTGATCGAGCGTCTATTGAGCCTGGCACAGGTCTACATGCATGGGCACAGAGCTGCCTGTCTGGTGTAATAGAGTTTAGTCTTTGAGATTTTCCACTTATCTCAGAATGTAGAGTTTGGGTCAAACATAATTGTCTCAAAAAGATTTGAATCACTGAGTAAACAGAAAAAAAGTACATTTTCTTAACAAGGCTATGGAGCAGCTTGTGGACGTAGCCTTAGTTCTTCGCCAGCAGGGCCAGTTCCTCATTAGTTACTAAGGTGACTAGTGGTAAGGTAGAGACTGTGGTTGTGCCTGATAACCCAGGGCTTGGATGGAGGACTTCCTCTTGTGCTTCCCTGGGAGATCTGCTTCACAGGGCCTGATGGGTTTGTGCTGTGCTAACCTGAGGCAGGTGGGTGGGGAGGCCTGATTCTGGATTAACTTTGGGAATGGTCTCTTCTACTATCAAACCATTCCCAAAAGATAATCTGACAAGGAAAAAAGTGACTATAGACCAGATGAACTGATCAAGAGACCTTTGTGCAGCGCACTTTGGTTTATGTGTAAGCCAAAACAACCCTGTAACATTATCCTTATCTTATGAGTAAACTTAGAACTAAGTGAAATCACCTGCCTAATATTGCCAGCAAACAAAGTGGCGGGTTTAGGCTTTTATTATAACACAGGACGGAATTCAAGTCCAGTGCTTCTTCCATGAAGCCACAATCACCTCACGTGAGTTATTCATTGCCTACTTTTTCTATAGAAACTTTAGATAACAACTTCCTATTAAAAAGGTCTATGTGTTTATATTCAGGGAAGCAAATAAACTAAAGAAGTGCCCCCAAAGAAAAATAAAAGTATGTACAGCTACTAAAAGAAGAAGGAGGAGGAAGAGGAGGAGGAACAAAAAAAGAGGAGGAGGATGAGGAGGAAAGGAGGAGGAGGAGAAGGACAGGGAGGGGGAAGATGAAAAAGCAACTTGAATTCCCAAAGTCATGAGGAACTAGCCTAGAATGGAAAACTAGGTAGAGGGCTAACAGAGCCCGAGATGCAGGTTTTCTAATATACAGCAGGAAATAGATCACCTATTGAATCAGAAATAACCAGTCAAAAGCTATTTCACACTTGCCAAACACAGTTGCCGGACACTGTAAGGTTTAGGTTAATTTTTTGTGATATTCAGAATATACACGTCTTGAAGTTTAAATCTGGCCACTAGAGGATGCTGTAGTCTGCCAAGTGCCTCAGTCAAACCCCTGTCTAACAGCTCTCATTAAATATCAGGCTAACAACAGTTACGGATGCAAGATGGCTTCCAGCATCTTGTCTGTGATGCTAGATAGAGGACACTCGAAGGACAGCCCTAATATTAAGGACCTTTGCCATAATAAACAGAATTTAAATAGTTGAATGCTACAAATTTTCATGCCCAATTGAACCAGTTTACAAGTCTGGAGAGACAAGCCTTGGAGATTATAAGCAGAAGTAACCCATTAACCCAAACTGTCTGTCTCTAATGTTCTGTTTTCTCTCTGACCCATCAGAAAGCATGTGGATTGCTATGTTCGTGTATGGTAGTTTATTAGGCCATTCTCCCATCGCTTTAAAGAAATACCTGTGGCCTGGCATGGTGGCTCACGTCTGTAATCCCAGCACTTTGGGAGGCCAAGGCGGGTGGATCACCTGAGGTCAGGAGTTCGAAACTAGCCTCGCCAACATGGTGAAACCCCATCGTTACTAAAAATACCAAAATTACCCAGGATTGGTGGTGAGCACCTGTAATCCCAGCAGGGATTACACCTGTAATTCTCCTGTCTTTGAGGCTGAGACAGGAGAATCGCTTGAACTCAGGATGTGGAGACTGCAATGGGCAGAGATCATACCATTGCACTCCTGCCCTGGCAACAAAAGTGAAACTCTGTCTCGGAAAAAAAAAAAAAAAAGAGAGATACCTGAGACTGGATAGTTTATAAAGAAAAGAGGTTTATTGGGCTCATGGTTCCACAGGCTATACAGGAAGCGTGATGATGCAGGCATCTGCTCAGCTTCTGCGGAGGCCTACAATCATGGTGGAAGGTGAAGGGGGAGCAGTCAGGTCACATAGGCCAAACAAGAGCAACAGAGAGGGGAGGTGCTACACACTTTAAAACAATCAGATCTCAGGAGAACTCATTCACTATTGAGACAGCCAAGTAAAAAGGGCTCCCTGGTGAACCTCTAACCAGCCTGAACTGGGAGAATGACACGGAGCCACAGAAGTTCGTGCCCTTTGCAGAGGTGAGGAGTCCGACCTCTTGAGTTCCTGTGTGGTGGGGCAGAAGCCAGATAACAGGCTTCCTTCTCGCTCTACTGAAAGTTTGAAAGTTTTTCTCTTTTTCCTTTATTGCCCAATAAATTCCATTTTTCTCACCCTTCTATGTGTCCACGAGCTTAATCTTCCCTGGTTGTGTGACAAGAACACAGTTTTTAGAAGAACTGAGGAGAAAGCCCTACAACACTATCACAAGAACAGCACCAAAGTGATGGTGCTAAATGGTTCATGAGAAATCCACCCCTATGATCCAAATTACCTCCCACCAGGCCCCACTTCCAACACTCGGGATTTTGACATGAGATTTGGGTGGGGACACAGAGCCAAACCCTATCAGGTAGTTGTGTCTTAAAAGAGATTATTTACAAACCAGAATATGTTTAGAGGAAGGAAACTACCAATATTGATAAGAATTTGAAATTTTGCTCCATGATGAGTGGCTGGAAGAAGTAGGAAAATTTGTGCTAAGCAAAGGAAAACGCTTAGAACTCGGTGGGTCTTTTCAAAAGATTTAAGGGATTAAAATGTTAACACCATGGACGCAGAAATTTTATCCTTTTTTCACTGCTGTTTTACAGGCTCAAAGACAGTATCAAACACCTAAGAGGTACTTAATCAGTATCCTTTTTGGTACATAAATGAATGGGGAAGAGGAATGAACATGATCTGGTTAGCCCCAAAGGGTAGGATTTAGACTAACTGGGTAGATATTAAACAGATACTAATTTTGGTTCAGTGGGAAAATGTATACTATAATGGTTAAGATCAGAGGCTCTGATTTAGAGAGGCTGAGTTTGAATCTGACTCTGCCTCCATCAAGCCCTGTGTCCTGGGAGAAGTTGGAGAATTTCTCAGTCTCAGTTTCCTCATCTCCAGTAGGGGTTAATGATAACAATTCCCACATAGAGCAAATAGCACAATGCCTGCCATATAGTATGTGCTCAAGAATAATTAGTTATTGTTATTGTTATTATTCATCTTATAATGCTTTGGGCTCACTAAAACAGTGACCAATTGTCTCCTGGTATATAAACATTTCTATAATAGAAACTTTAGTTCTTCAAGTGATAATTTATTGCATTATTTACTTCTTCAGGTAATAATTCATTGCATTATTTATTTCTTCAGGTAATAATTTGTTGCATAATTTTGTAGGAGATATTCCTCAACTGGGTATAAGATTGGACTAAAATCTCTCCATTTTTAATAGTAAAAAAATCCAGAATTATAAACCGTGCCTCCAAAATAGAAATTCAAGAGTAATGGCTGAAGACGAATTTTGTGGGCTAAGAAGGGTTTTGTAGCCCTGCGAGGGAATAGGGTAATAAATCCAGCTCACACTATTAGGTTCCCCATCCCTGGATGAAAAAAAGAACTATAATCCTCATTAAATACAGGACCACAGAACTGCAAGTAAACTCCAAGAGGGCATAGTCACAGGGCCAGTACATTTCTGTACAGTTTCCTCTATTGGTTTCAGAACATTTGAAATATGAAGCTATCTGATGGGAACAGCGTATCAAAAACAAACAAAAAAATTGCACCATTGGAGAAGTAAATGTGTTTGAAATTAAACATTTTAAAATATAAGTTATACTAAGCCTTCTGAAAAATAAGAACTTGAAAAATATAGTCCCTTTATTTCCATTTCTCTGACCCAATTTATCTCTTAAAAACCTTAGTTTATTCCACCTATATATAAATACAATTTATTTGCATAATAAGGGAAGCAATTAAATTAAGAAACATGCAAAGCTTTTGCTTTTCCAAGCACTAGCACTGCCAACAATTTTGCTTTTTTTTACTCTCACAATCCAGTGCAGAGAGATCTTTTGTTTTCTTTCATTATTTAAACAAAAGCTAACTTTTAGCTAAAAATATGCAATATGTATATAACAAAATGATGTTCACACAAACAGAATAATGCAGATCTTTTGCTTTTAAACAAATCAAAAGTCACTAAAAGGCCAAGAAATAGTGAAAACAAACAAAATAGACTGATTGGAGATCAAGTCAAAACCTTGTTACTTGGTTGGGATGCTATTTGTGGATAGGTGCCTTTTAGATGTGTTCAAAATAAATAAATAAAAATGGAGGCTACAATTTAGATACCCATGGTCAACTGCCCACAGCCATGTAAACAAAATTTAAATCATCCTGATTTCCCTGAAATCTTAACCTTGAACATAAACAAAGCATAGAGATTAGCATTTTGTCCTTTTCAGCATGGTTCAATGAAATTAAACCAGTAGCTACAGATAAATCAGCTTAAATAGGCTCTGTTGCTTTAAAAACAAATATATGACAGCTAATCATGAAAACGACCAAAATACTTTCTCCTTCAGG